TAACCAATAAAATTTTTACAATATCACGGGATGATCTGCAAAAATTAGCCAATCACAATGAAAGCCCGCTATGCTACCTGTAGGTCAGAGACGCTTATTTTCGGAGGAATACGGTACTTTATTATATTTGGGTGTTTCTTATACTAGACATTTTTTTATGCCGAGTCAGTTACATTCAATAAAAATTTTCAATAAATAAGGGATTGGTAGCCCTTGGAGGGAGTGAATATCTCATAACAATAGTGATTTTATGACATGACCGAAGTCAAAGAACAAAGAATCATTCTTAATGTTGGTGGTGTGAAGGTAGAAGGAAATTTATGCGTATTTTTAAATGGTTTGTTCAATATTAACAAATCAATCAATCTAGTACGAAACCTATCGTTCGACACTGACAAAATATCCCGAGACTTTACTTGGAGTAATGTTCAGTTCACGAAATGAAGAATTATTACATCCAACTAACGAAAATGAATACTTTTTTGATCGTAATGGGGATGCATTTCGTTATATAATATCATTTTACCGAACTGGTAAAATTCAGTAAGAATCTAATTTTTTTTTTTAGTGTTGCAGAGTAAAAACCGGTAACTGTACTTAATGATTTACTATGACCAGTTACAGGTTTTCACTTATATCAATCAGATTTTTTTTTCCACATTTTAAACTAATTTTTCTTACAAGTTATGAAGCAAACATTACGGTTAACGAGTCAGATTTAGAGGAAGAGCTTGACTATTTTCAAATTCCATCAAATATAAACTATCTCGATTATGATCTGGCTCACAAGAAGGCCGCAAAGTTTTTGAGCCAATTTATCAATTTGATCGAATCTGTAATTTTTGAAAATCTCTGCATTTTGGAACGATACATAAGAATCGGGTTTTATAAAAATGAATGGCATCGAAAGAGAACTTGTACGAATTTTGAACTTTTGAATGATTCAACTAAAAAAGAACACGCTCGATTCGAGAATTTTGGATATAGAATTTTAAATGCACTTGAAAAACAAATAATAGCATACTTGATTTCTGTGCTCCCTGGTGCTTTGGTGGAGTTAGAAACAAAACTTGATCACTACTTAATAAAAGTAAATCCAAGCTTCGATCAGATAGTTGAATTATCATGTATCGCGAATAAAAAAAAATAAAGGATCTCTTGTTCTTGCAGTATCGTTGGTAATTGGACCCATTACCGCTATTAAATTTGTTATTTTTAGTCTCATAGTTTATTGCTTTCTTCTATTTAGTTGACTTAATGTGTCTCATAATTACAATATAAGTAAAGCCTAAATTCGTTATATTTTACGAAACTCACTTAATAGTGCTTTTTTTAACATTTTAATGATTATATTTTATTTGCCTTTTAAGCTTTTTTTAATTAGCATAAATTTGAGTCACGGAACTGGAGATTGAGAAACATATACAAATAATTATTTGGTCTTATTAGAACCGGAGAGGACTTGAAAGATACGAACTTAAACTAATACCCTAGCCATGGCAAAAAAAACGGAAAGTCTACGGACACGTACCGGTCACGTGATATTTCATCTTACGGACACGTACCAAAATAATTTTTTTTTTTGATTTAAAAAAACGATCTGACAAGACTTCTGTACTAAGTTAATCTTTTTTATTACTCAAATAAAAT